TCGCTTGAACCTGGGAGGCGGAGGTTGCGGTGAGCCAAGATTGTGCCATTGCACTCCAGCCCGGGCAACAAGAGTGAAACTCCGTCTCAAAAAAAAAAGAAAAATTAAAAATAAAAAATAAAGCCCAAAATCTTTTATTATTATTATTATTATTTTAGACAGTGTCTCACTCTGTTGCCCAGGCTAGAGTGCAGTGGCGTGATCTCAGCTCACTGCAACCTCCGCCTCCTGGGTTCAAGTGATTCTCATTCCTTAGCCTCCCGAGTAGCTGAGATTACAGGCATGTGCCACCATGCCCAGCTATTTATTTATTTATTTATTTATTTTGAGACAGAGTCTCACTCTGTCACCCAGGCTGGAGTGCAATGGTGTGATCTCAGCTCACTGTAACCTCTGCCTCCTGGGTTCAAGTGATTCTTCTGCCTCAGCCTCAGCCTCCTGAGTAGCTGGGACTATAGGCTTATGCCACCACGCCCGGCTAATTTTTGTGTTTTTAGTAGAGACAGGGTTTCACCATATTGGCCAGGCTAATCTTGAACTCCTGACATTGTGATCCACCTGCCTCAGCCTCCCAAAGTGCTGGGATTACAGACGTGAGCCACCGTGCCCAGCCTAATTTTTGTATTTTTAATAGAGACTGGTTTTGGCCATGTTGGCCAAGCTGGTCTCGAACTCCTGGCCTCAAGCAATCTGCCCACCTCAGCCTCCCAAGAGTGCTGGGATTACAGGCACAAGCCACTGTGCCTGGCTTCCAAAATCCATTTCTTTAATAATGAATTTACACCTACGAGCAAATAAAGTCAACTGGTCTCTTAAAAACAGTATTGGGCCAGGTGCAGTGGCTCACACCTATGATCCCAGCACTTTGGGAGGCTGGGGCGGGTGGATCACCTGAGGTCAGGAGTTTAAGACCAGCCTGGCTAACATGGCGAAACCCATCTACTAAAAAATACAAAAAATTAGCTGGGTGTGGTAGCACATGCCTGTAATCCCAGCTGAGACAGGAGAATCACTTGAACCCAGGAGACAGAGGTTGCAGTGAGCCGAGATCGCACCACTGTACTCCAGCCTGGGTGACGAGTGAAACTCCATCTCAAAAAAACAAAACAAAACAAAAACACCCAACCCTATTGGTCTTATAAATGGACGTGGTAGCTTTGGCTGATGTTTCTGTCGTGCACACAAAATGGTCCTTTAAGGAAAACCTGAAAATTTATTCTAGAATTTTAAGATAATCCGTCAGAAAAAACAAGCAAACAAAATTCTTCCTGAAATTTCTAAACAATACTTTGGTTTTGAATATTTAGGCTTTCCTTTCATAAGTTTGATTGGTTGATTTATGTCTTTTAAAAAATATGTATTTAGGGCAGCTTTGTAATATAAAAAACATTTCCACCTATAATTCTTTGCTTTAATGTAACTGTTTTCTTTTCTTTTTTTTCTTTTCTTTGTTTTTTTTTTGAGACAGAGTCTCACTCTGTCACCCAAGCTGGAGTGCATGGTATGATCTCAGTTCACTGCAGCCTCTGTCTCTTGGGTTCAAGCAATTCTCTTGCCTCAGCCTCCAGAGTAGCTGGAATTATAGGTGTGCACCACCATGTCAAGCTAATTTTTGTATTTTCAGTAGAAACGGGGTCTCTCCATGTTGGCCAGGCTAGTCTTGAACTCGTGACCTCAAACGATCTGCCCACCCCAGCCTCCCAAAGTGCTAGAATTACAAGTGCGAGCCACCACACCCAGCCTAATGTAACTGTTTTCCTTTCTTGGGATTCTTTTTGGTCTTTATCTCATTGTTATATGTGATTATAATGTTGTCATTTATGCAGTTGTATGTTCTATTTTAAACCTTAAAATTTCTTACCAACTTTTTGAATATGCCTCACTGAAATGATTCATACTGTAGCATGTGTGACTCAGGGTAGTGAAAAGGGGTTTGTTTTGAATAGCAAGATGAGTATCAGACTAGTCTTCCAGCCAGAAAACATTCCATGCAACTTGAGACACAGATGAAACAGCAGATTTCTTCTTGGCTTGGGTTGGATGAAGAGTAGATTGACTTATGTAGTGTTTGCTAAAATGACAAATGGTGAGATGCTAAAAGCACTTTGAGCTTTAGGGAGTTCAAAGTGGCCAGGCAAATTAAAGTTATGTGACCTGCCTGAGAATATAGCACAGTTCTTTGTGAGAAAAGAAGGTGAGATATTTGTGCTTTGTTGGGAATAAAGAAGATTTTAAAAACTCAAACAAGGCTGGGCACAGTGGTTCACACTTGTAATCTCAGCAGTTTGGGAGGTCGAGGCACAGATCGTTTGAGCTCAGAAGTTCAAGATCAACCTGGGCAACATGGCAAAACCCCATCTCTACCAAAAAAAAATAGCCAAAAAAGAATGAAAATTAGCTGGGCGTAGTGGCTCACACCTGTAGTATCAGCTACTCGGGAGGCTGAGATGGGCAGATCACTTGCGCCTGGGAGGTTGAGACTGCAGTGAACCTTAATTGCACCACTGCACTCCAGGCTGGGCAACAGCACGAGACCTTGTCTCAAACAAACAAACAAACAAACAAAAACTTATCAAAAAGACCTACTGCTCATGCTGGGTGTGGTGGCTCACACCTGTAATCCCAGCACTTTGGGAGTTTGAGGCAGGTGGATCAGTTGAGGTCAGCAGTTCAAGACCAGCCTGGCCAACATGGTGAAACCCCATCTCTACTAAAAATACAAAAATTAGCCCGGCATGGTGGTGTGTGCCTGTAATCCCAGCTACTTGGGAGGCTGAGGCAGGAGAATCGCTTGAACCCAGGAGGCAGAGGTTGCAGTGAGCCGAGATCGTGCCAATGCACTGCAGTATGGGCTACAGACTGAGACTCCGTCTCAATCACTCAATCAATAAACCTACTGCTCAAATAGGGTAAGAAATAAAAACAGTATATTCATCTGAAAGAAACAAAATTGTGTATCTTTTAGAGTTCAAATAAAGTAAATATTCAACATCTGATAACTGTTAAGGGCACAAACTTGAGCATATTTGTGTTGAGTTCTTTTATAACTCTAAAATATGCTAGAATTCTGTTGAGGATTGATTCTGAGTTTGCAGACCCTTGAAGACATCAGGAGTCTATGTACCTACAATGGTAATATATTAATATGTGTGAGTCCCTAGTTAACAGTTTACACCTGGAATGCCAGGCAAACTAGACAATGTCAGAGACACAGAGGAACAACCTATGCAATGGATTGAAATGCAGTAGATGGACATACGCTCTTGTGTGTTTGGAACCTTCATGGGAAAGAAGTAGAACACAAAGTGGAAAGTGCAGACTAGGCAAAGGACCTGTGGAAGGTTTGTTTCTAAACCTCAAAGATCATTCTTTTTTTTTTTTTTTTTAATTGAGACAGAGTCTTGGTTTGTCGCCCAAGCTGGAGTGCAGTGGGGTGATCTCAGCTCACTGCAACCTCCGCCTCCCGGGTTCAAGCTCTTCTCCTGCCTCAGTCTCTGGAGTAGCTGGGACTACAGGTGCCTACCACCACACCCAGCTAATTTTTGTATTTTTAGTAGAGATGGGGTTTTGCCATGTTGGCAGGGCTGATCTCAAACTCCTGACCTCAAGCGATCCCCCTGCCTTGGCCTCCCAAAGGGCTGGGATTACAGATGTGAGCCACTGTGCCCGGCCTCATGATCATTCTCGAAACTCACTTTAGCAACTTGGGTATTTCAGTTAGGATTAGGTTCAATTGTGTGTAACAGATCATCAAAAAAAACAAACAAAAAAAACAAAACTCAGGAACTTAAAGGTAGAGTTTTTGGGTGTTTGTTTTTTTGCCTTACATAAAAGAAGTCTGAAGCTAGGTAACTGAGGTGGCAGTTCTGTGATCACCAGAGACCTAGGCTCCCTCTTTCTTTTGGTGTCATCATCTTTAGTGCTGGCTTCCACCCTCAGGTTTGCGTTAGGGCTGCTGAGTGATGACTGCTATTCTAGCTGTCACATCTGTGCTCCAAGCAGGAAAAAGGACAAGGCCAAAGGGCATATTTCCTGGTAGAATCCACCCCCTGTACACTAAAGGGCTTTCCTGGAAACCCCACCCACTTATTGGACACCCCTATCTGTAAAGGACATCGCCTTCCCCTATAACATGGAGACTAGATATTGGATAGGCAAACCTTGGTCTCTGCCTTACCAAGTGATCATATTCCTAAAGGTATTACTTAGACTTAGGTGGCTAAGACTTTGGGATACCTACAGACTCAGAATAGGACAGTAATAGTGTTTGGTGAACCTGGCTTTTAGTTTCCTACTTAACTGATTGATTCAACAGTATTTAGGACTTACCATGCTAGGCACTGGAGCTACAATAGTAAGCAAAATAGACCCAGTCCCTGCCCTCAAAGAGTTTACAGACTGATAGGGGAAAGAAGAGCTTTAAATAAGTGGATTATAAATATGTTGAACCTTAAGAAAAGGGAAGTAAAGTGTGCTTGGTTAGGACTGTGTGATAGGAAAGGCTCTATAAGGATATGTCATAACATATACATCGAGACTTAAAGGATGCTTAGGAGTTAGCCAGGTCAGAATGGCAGAGATGGAGGCATCAGAGGAGAGCAAGAGGGGGAGGAGTGTGCCAGGTCGACTCGCTCCCAGTCTCATAGATTCCATTGCAATTCCTTTTTCTTCCATTATTTGTCTTAATTCTTCATCAGAGGGAATCGGTGGGAATGTCTAAGCAATAAAGGAAGGCAGAGACCAAAATTTTTTTTTAATCTGATGACGAAAGGGGTTGCCATCCTTTCTACTTCTTTGTTTTTTCACTCTCTCTAGATGAGTGCCTTCCTTCATAGGCTGCACCAGGGAGTGTTGGTAACCGAGGAAGGAGGTGGATCAATGGCTGGGGTACCGAAGTATTGTTCCATTGTAGATCAGGATTTTGGTCTCAGTGTGAGACTTTGGGGAGGCAAGTATTGGTTCTGACCTAAGGTGCTGATATGACCCCCTTCCCCTTCCAGGAAGTGGACGTTGTGGTAGCACCATGCCAAGGCCTCCGACCCACAGTGGATGTTCTGGGTGACTTGGTGAATGATTTCTTGCCTGTGATAACCTATGCACTCCACAAAGATGAACTCTCTGAGAGGGATGAGCAAGAGCTTCAGGAAATCCGAAAGTATTTCTCCTTTCCTGTATTCTTTTTCAAAGTGCCGAAACTGGGCTCAGAGATAACAGACTCCTCAACCAGGAGAACGGAGAGTGAAAGATCACTGCTTTATCGCCAGCTAATTGACCTGGGCTATCTGAGCAGCAGTCACTGGAACTGCGGGACTCCTGGCCAGGATACTAAAGCTCAGAGCGTGTTGGTAGAACAGAGTGAAAAGCTGAGACACTTGAGCACATTTTCTCACCAGGTGTTACAGACTCGCCTGGTGGACGCAGCCAAGGCCCTGAACCTGGTGCATTGCCACTGCCTTGACATCTTTATTAACCAGGCATTTGACATGCAGCGGGACCTGCAGATCACTCCCAAACGTCTGGAATATACTCGAAAAAAGGAGAATGAGTTGTACGAATCATTGATGAATATTGCCAACCGAAAGCAGGAGGAAATGAAGGATATGATTGTTGAGACACTTAATACCATGAAGGAGGAACTTCTGGATGATGCTGCTAACATGGAGTTTAAAGGTAGGTCCCAGAGAGCTTGCTGGGGTGCTGGCATGCAAAGAGTCTCTAACCATTTTCTAGCCGGAAATTAAGAACGTTAATTCTTCAGGTTGAAGGAATCTCAGGGTAACTTCATGCACCCCACTGTTACCAGCAGGAGCCCACTATTTAGCCAAGGTGGCCTCTCTTGCTCTCAAAGATCATCGTGGAAGATTCCACCCTCATTCCTTCCCAAGAACATTAGCTCAACTTTTGGTAAATTCATCCTAATAGCTCCCTCATCTCCACTTTCTGCCTGTACCCCCTCAACTCCTAATGGAGCTGGAGAAGAGCTGCTTGGAGAATGTTAGTAAATTGTGCTTTAACCTTTGCTCCTGCAGTATAGCTCATGCCTCTTTATTGGTTCTTTTTGTCTCATGGTCTCATTTCCTTTCAGGCTGCTTCTGAAGCCCAAATCAGGAGGATTTCCCAAAGTTGTGATTTTAGCCTTTTGATAGTCCTATTCTTCACAAATGGCTACTAACAAAATTGGGTGAAAGTGATTGGTCAGGTCTTTGGGTGTCTGAGATGCTGCTGATTTTGTATACTGACTTCTGTATAAACCTCCTTGCAAGATTAAAATGATGGTTTACAGGTTACCCTTTAGAGTCTCAGTTGTGGGTATCCTAATCCCTTGGGAGGCTTTCCGAAAATACAGATGCTCAAGACCACTAAAGATCACTGCAGACTTACTCAGGATTTCTGACATGGGACCCAGCATCAGTTTTTTTTGGTTTTTTTTTTTGAGACGCAGTCTCGCTCTGTCACTCAGGCTGGAGTGCAGCGGTGCGATCTCGGTTCACTGCAACCTCCAACTCCTGGGTTCAAGCAATTCCCCTGCCTCAGCCTCCCAAGTAACTGGGATTACAGGCATGCACCACTATGCCTGGCTAAATTTTTTTGGTATTTTAGTAGAGACAGGGTTTCATCATGTTGGCCAGGACGGTCTTGATCTCTTGACCTCGTAATCTGCCCACCTTGGCCTCCCAAAGTGTTGGGTGTCGTGAGCCACCACGCCTGGCTGTGATTAATCTTCTTGCATATTCGATACCTACCTGTGCTTTTCTATTCTGTCTCCTTAAGTCTAACTGAACTGTTGTTATCTGACTGATCTCCCTGACTTCTTTCTCCAGTTCACCTTTACTGGCTCGCTATTTCTACAGACTAAGTTTAACTCCTGCACCTAGTATTAAAGACCTCCCAAAGCCTAGCCCTTACCAACTTTTCCAGTCTTATTTCCTCACTGTGCACTTTCCTGTATTTTCTATGTCAATTGGTCTTAACTTCTTTCTGTCCTCCGTACGCTCCCTTTACTTTTTCTTTGATAACACCCTGCCTTAAACCTGGAATGTCTTTGATTTGTCTGTGAACTTCCAGATCCTACCTACCCATCAGGGCCTGTCTCCCAAATGCCATTTTTCATGAAGTCTTCTTTAATTTTCTCCTTCCTTTTTTTTTTATTTTTTTTATTTTTGGGACAGCTTCTTGCTCTGCCATCCAGACTGGAGTGCAGTAGTGCAGTCGTGGCTCACTGCAGCCTCAATCTCCTGGGCTTAAACAATCCTCCTGCCTCAGCCCCCTGCATACCTGGGACTACAGGCACATGCCACCACACCAGCTAATTTTTTATATTTTTTTAAAGACAGGGGTTTCACCATGTTGGCCAAGTTGGTCTTGAACTCCTGGGCTCAAGCAATCCTCCCACCTTAGCCTCCCAAAAGGTGCTGGGATTATAGGCATGAGCCACCACACCTAGCCCTGCTTTAATTTTCTCAGCTAATAACAATTGCAGTCATTTGAAATCCCATAGCATTCCATCTGTAACTTATTTCTGGCATATTTCACTTTCTATCTTTTATTATAGTTATTTATATACTGCTGACTACTTCCTAAAATCCTAGAGTTGAAGGAGGATAGGATCTGGGTCTTATTCATCATCATATTCCTTGCAGCAAATAACACAGACTCTTTTATACAGTACATATTTGGAGAATCAATGAGTGTGTGAATGATGGTATCTAGTTTAAGTTACACTTATAAATACAAAGGAAGTATGGTTGACTTTAGCAAGCATAGGTTGCCTGATTTCTTATAGTCATTCTAAAAATGAATGGAGATACCTCTTTGGTGAATTCCCCACTACAGAGAGGAGTTGTTGAGAAGTGTTACTTGCAGTGGAAATCTTAGGAAGTCTTCTTAATATTTGATTAAAGACACCAAAGCATCACTGCCAGCATCATGTTACACAGAATGAAGGGAGGTCAGGACAGCTAGGTTGGGCAGACAGTAAAGTATTCGATTGTTCTTACCTTGTTCTAAGTGCTTTCTGGGTATCCTTGAAACAATAAGAAGATTTAGAAGCAAGCTAGCACATATCCTATGGAGCCAGATTTTTTTTTTTTTTTTCTGTAGAGACGAGGTCTTGCTATATTGCCCAGGCCTGTAGCGATCCTCCCACCTCAGCCCCCACAAAGTGCTAGGATTACAGGTATAAGCCATCATGCCCAGCGTGGAGCCAGATTACTATTACTGTTTGTTTTTAAATAAAGACAATGCATATGTGCTAGGTATCTTGATATTCACACTTTATAAAATTTATTTTGAAGATAAAACCTATATGTATGGTACTTAATTCAGAGTTATAAAGACACCATCCCCCAGCCACCCAGTTCTTCTCCATATGTTCTTCTGCACTTGTCTTTTTCATTTAGTATGTGTCTTAGAGGGCATTCTATAAATATTCATACAAATTTGTCTTCTTCTAATGGATATGCCTGAATTTATTGAACTATTCTCTCATTGATGGACATTTAAGCTGTTTGTTTTTGTTTTTTAATTTTTTTTTTTTTTTTTTGATAGAAGGTCTTGTTCTGTCGCCCAGGCTGGAGTGCGGAGGCCTAATCTAGTCTCACTGCAACCTCCGCCTCCGGATTCAAGGAATCCTCCCACCTCAGCCTCCCTAGTAGCTGGGTCTAAAGGTGTGCGCCACTACACTCGGCTAATTTTTGTATTTTTAGTAGAGACAGGGTTTCACCATGTTGGCCAGGCTTATTTGTTTATTTTTTATTTTTTATTTTCTCTTTCGCTAATACAAACTGTACTGCATTAATCATCATTGTACATTGTACATATACGTCTTGGGACTTGTAAGGGTGTATTTCAACAAAAAGAATTCCTAGAAGCAAAATAATTAGATCAAAGGATATGTAGATTTTTCTTGGTTGGTTGAACATTTTAATAGATGTTGCCAAATTTCCTCTGAAGAAGTGGCACCAATTTAAATTTCCACCCGTAGACATGAGAGTGCCTTCTTAGGAGCACATCTTTTTTACAAGTAGTTTGACTTCTCTTAAACTCTTCCGTCTTCTGATTTACAATATTAATAGATGTTCTCATCCTAAGAGATAGTGTAGCATGGTGGGGACAATTGAGTTTTACTTTTTATTTATCTAGTAATTGATTAGAATAAAATTCCTGGCCGGGCGCAGTGGCACACGCCTGTTATCTCAGCACTTTGGGAGGCCAAGGTGAGCGGATCACCTGAGGTCAGGAGTTCAAGACCAGCCTGGCCAACATGGTGAAACCCCCATCTCTACTAAAAATACAAAACTTAGCCGGGCGTGGTGGTGGGCATCTGTAATCCCAGGTACTTGGGAGGCTAAGGCACAAGAATCACTTGAACCCAGGAGGTGGAGGTTGCAGTGAGCCGAGATCGTGCCACTGCACTCCAGCCTGGGCGATAAAGCTAAACTCAGTCTCAAAACAACAAAACAAAACATAGAATAAAATTCCTGACTCTTGGATTTTTCTCATTAATATGCTAGGGAGTGTGAAATTTTGCAAAGATCATAGGATTTGGAATGAGCACTGGGTTCAAATGCTGACTGTATTACTTCCTAACTAACTGTACTATCCCCTTCCCATGTCTACTTTGTTCTCTCTTTGAGGCTGTTTCTTGATCTATAATAACCATCTAACAAAGTTATTGTGAAGATGAAATTAGATTACATGTGTAAAATCCTTATTTTAGTGCCTTTCAAATAGTTTGCACTTATAAATGTTGTTCCTCCCTTCCTATAAATGTGACGTAAAAGCTAACAAAATCAACAGTCTCATTCTAAACTTAATTGCTTCTTTTTTTTTTTTTTTGAGACAGGGTCTCACTCCCATCACCCAGGCTGGAGTGCAGTGGCACAATCACAGCTTATTGTAGCCTCTACCTCCTAGGTTCAAGCCATCCTCCCGCCTGCCTCATCTTTTTACTTTTTGTAGAGATGAGGTCTCACTGTGTTACCCAAGCTCATCTTGAACTCCTGGGCTCAAGCAATCCTCCTGCCTCGGCCTCCCAAAGTGCTGGAATTATAGGCATGAGTCACTGCACCTGGCCTTAATTGCTTCTTCTCAGGATCTTAGCTGGCTTAAGTAGTTGAGGGTTATGTGACCCCTGATCATTGTGAGAGTCAGACTTCATCAACGAATCATGTCTTTTTGCAGCCATCATCATCACGGTAGTTCCATGATTCCAATTTGGGAGATGAGTTTATTTGGTGTGTCTGCCCCTTCTTCCTCACAACTCATTAGCTTATTTCTCTGCCTCCATAGATGTCATTGTCCCTGAGAATGGAGAACCAGTGGGCACCAGAGAGATCAAATGCTGCATCCGACAGATCCAGGAACTCATCATCTCCCGACTAAATCAGGCAGTGGCTAATAAGCTGATCAGCTCAGTGGATTACCTGAGGGAGAGCTTCGTCGGAACCCTGGAACGATGTCTGCAGAGCCTGGAGAAGTCTCAGGATGTCTCAGTTCACATCACCAGTAATTATCTCAAACAGGTAGAAAAAGAATGATTTTTTTTAAGACATCGTGTCATAGATAACACATGAAACAATCTGCACAAACCCACGCTTCAAGTTAGGCAAGAATTTCCCTTTCAGCTTCTTGAGAATCTTGTTTGAATTTTATTTTGTTTTCCTGTCACATGACCACTGCCTGTAGGAGATGTTGGTGAGCTGTAAAATTGCAGTTAAGTTGACGAATATAGGCCAGGCACAGTGACTCATGCCTATGATTCCAGCACTCTGGGAGGCTGAGGCGGGTGGATCACCTGAGGTTGGGAGTTCGAGACCAACCTGACCAACATGGAGAAACCCCATCTCTACTAAAAAAAACAAAATTAGCCCAGCATGGCGGTGCATGCCTGTAATGCCAGCTACTTGGGAGGCTGAGGCAGGAGGATTGCCTGAACCTGGGAGGCGGAGGTTTCGCTGAGCAAGATCACGCCATTGCACTCCAGCCTGGGTGACAAGAGTGAAACTCTGTCTTAAAAAAAAAAAAAAAAAAAAAAGTTGATGAATGTAAAGATGAGGTAGAAGGGGCTAGATAGTTAGTCACAAAATAAATAATCAGCTTAAGTTGACTCTGCATATATATTGAGGGATAAATTTGGAAACCCTGAGTCTGGACTGTATTCTTGAAATAAATATCATTTATTGCATTTTTGAAATAGCCACAGTACTGAGGGCATGTTTTCTTTGGCGGTGTCTCTTTCAGATCTTAAATGCTGCCTATCATGTTGAAGTCACGTTTCACTCAGGGTCGTCAGTTACAAGGATGCTGTGGGAGCAAATCAAGCAGGTAGGGATTATTACTTAGAGCAAGATTTCTAAGCCCCTAGTTGGCTCAAATGAATCCTAGTGATCCCAATAGGAAACAGATATCTAGGATCTTCTGTTAAGGCAGGATGGCCATTTGTTCTGGTTTGTCTGCCTGGGAGAATTCTGGTTTATGCCTATTCTCAAATAATTATTAACATTGTTACCTTGAACTCTCAGAAGTTTTGGGTTTAAATGATTTTTATGTTGGGTATTCTTTGTGAACAATGGAAAAATAGAAAAAAAAGATAAATGATATTTCATGGAGCCGCAAGGCTCTACCATACTAGCTTCTTCATATTTCTTTTTCCCAGCCTAAATCTTTTCTCAGAACTAGGCTTTGTTGTTGCCGGAGGCTGTGAATGTGGTTTCTGTTCTGGAATTTGATCTGGCTCTTATGTAGAGTTATTTACTGACTTCAGAAAGATTATCAGGCACTCCCTGGCACTGAATGTAATATATTGAGGGTTTGTGAGCATGTAAACTAGGCCTGGTGTTCTTTGATGCTTTCTTTGGGCTAGGACCTGATTTTGAGGTAGATGGAATTGGAAAGGCACTTTAGACTTCATATGGCTCCCATCTGATGAGCCTGCTCCTATTGAATGGGTAACCCAAAAAAGGAAGGACACTGGATCTTTGTAGTGGTTCTTGTCTCTCATTCTTCAGTGATCTCGCTGTCTTCATCCTGGTAGATCATCCAGCGCATCACATGGGTGAGCCCACCTGCCATCACTCTGGAATGGAAGAGGAAGGTGGCCCAGGAAGCCATTGAGAGCCTCAGCGCCTCCAAATTGGCCAAGAGCATTTGCAGCCAATTCCGGACTCGGCTCAATAGTTCCCACGAGGCTTTTGCAGCCTCTTTGCGGCAGGTTGGTATGTAGGAAAGGAGATATAACTGCATCAAGCAGAGAAGAGCCTCATCCAGATGGGAATATTTTGCTCTCTGTTCTTCGTGTGTATATGTATGTGTGTGTGTGTGTGTGTGTGTGTGTGTGTGTGTGTGTGTGTATAAATCATCAGTATTTTTTCTTTCCTAGCCTATTACGTTATAGGAAGTTTTTTCAATAAATTTTTCATGTGGATATTTTCCTAACTCTAGGGAGAATGGAGTGAGCTCAGTTAATTTCTCCCCATTTCACTGAGTGAGGCAAGAAAATACGAGTAGGAATTTTATATGTTTATATAGTATTTTAGCTAAGAACAAATGACAGAAGGTGATGACTTTCCAACTTCTATGTTATTTCATAAATGTTTGACATCTGATTGTCTGCTGGCGGGGGAGTGGGTGTGTCCAGGCAGAGAGTGGATAGATGTGAGTATGCATCCAGGAGGAAAAGTTATTATTTATTGAGTTCACTCTGTGCCAGTCTCTGTGCTAAACACGTTACATGTATCTTGTTTAATTCTCACAATTATCTATATGAGGTAGATATCATTATCCCTGTATAACAGGTGAGGAAGTTGAAGCTAGGGACTTAAGTCATATGTACTTTTTCTGTTTCCCTCCCAGCTAGAAGCTGGCCACTCAGGCCGGTTAGAGAAAACTGAAGATCTATGGCTGAAGGTTCGGAAAGATCATGCCCCCCGCCTGGCCCGCCTTTCTTTGGAAAGCCGTTCTCTACAGGACGTCTTGCTTCATCGTGAGTCTGGTTTTCAAATAAACTGGAGGATGGTTCAGGATACCTGACATTCTTATGTCCAACGTCAGAGAATCCCAGTGTCTAAAGCTGCTTCTTTGCAAAACTGCCTAAACCCTTACTGATGTTTTTGAATTCCTAAAGTCTCGTCCTGCTATTTATATAGTTCAAATAACATGACCAGGCGAGGTGTGGTGGCTCACACCTGTAATCTTAGCATTTTGGGAGGCTGAGATTGGTGGATTGCCTGAGCTCAGAAGTTCAAGACCAGCCTGGGCAATATGGCAAGACCCCGTGTCTACTAAAAATACAAAAATTAGCTGGGCGTGGTGGCACTTGCCTGTAACCCCAGCTACTCGGGAGGCTGAGGCAGAAGAATCACTTGAACCCCGGAGGTACAGGTTGTAATGAGCCAAGATCATACCACTGCATTGCAGCCTGGGTGACAGAGCAAGACCCTGTCTCCAAAAAAAAAAAGAATCTTATAGAGGTTGCCCACCAAGTTCCCATCCCTCCTACCTTATCTCTGTCTCTGTACCTTATAGGTAAACCTAAACTGGGACAGGAACTGGGCCGGGGCCAGTATGGTGTGGTGTACCTGTGTGACAACTGGGGAGGACACTTCCCTTGTGCCCTCAAATCAGTTGTCCCTCCAGATGAGAAGCACTGGAATGATCTGGCTTTGGAATTTCACTACATGAGGTGGGTCCTGGTCTCATTCATCTCTACGAGAAAGATCCAGAGGAGAATCTAGAAGCCTGGTTTAGATTTTGTACCAAAAGCTACAGCATGGCCTCTCTGTATTTAGGTTTCTGTGTCTAACAGACATGTGCTCCCTTTCAGGCCTTTACTGTCTTTGCTTGCTCTTTCCCCACCATCCTAATTTCTCAGACTCATCATTCCATTTAACTTTTCTTCTTTAGTCCTTAAGCCTTATTGGTTTTTAGAATCCAGGATTCTTCATCCTTGTTGAAGAGGCCATGCTCTGTCTGCACTAAGGGCTCTGTCTACACTGAGGGCTCTATCTGCACTGAGGGCCATTACCTCTGGACCTGTCCTAAGCATGGTCTGGAAATTCTTGTCTCCTACATTCTGGCATGGCATGCAGAATTAGAGCCCAAGTCTTGTAGCCTAGACCTCTCTTCTTCCCACCAGGTCTCTGCCGAAGCATGAGCGATTGGTGGATCTCCATGGTTCAGTCATTGACTACAACTATGGTGGTGGCTCCAGCATTGCTGTGCTCCTCATTATGGAGCGGCTACACCGGGATCTCTACACAGGGCTGAAGGTAAGGAGAGAGCAAGATCCAGCTGGCAGCCAAATCCACAGGTTCCTTTCTGGCCTCTCATCCTCTCCTGTTTATTCAGAGCTTTTAGCTTTCATCAGAGACTATTGGAGTAATTAGGCTTTATTTCATTTATTTCCAAAAACCCTTAAAGATTTCTCAGCTGGGCATGGTGGCTCACCCCTGTAATCCCAGCACTTGGGGAGGCAAGGTGGGAGGATCACTTGAGTCCAGGAGTTTGAGACCAGTCTGGGCAATAGAGGGAGACCTCGTCTCTATAAAAAATTTAAAAGTTAGCTGAGTGTGGTGGCTCATACCTGTAGTCCCAGCTACTCGAGGGGGCTGAGGTAGGAGGATCCCTTGCACTTAGGAGGTCAAGACTGCAATGAGCTATGATCATGCCACTGCACCCTAGCCTGGGTGACAGAGCAAGACCCTGTCTCTAAAAATAAAAATAAATTTAAAGATTTCTCAGAACCTATTTTCACCCCATTATATACCCAGAATATTGCCATTCACCACTCGGACACCTGTGGTGGTAGTAAAAATCTAAACTCCTTAGAAGAGCAGTACAGCTGCCTGTAACTCTGCTCTTCTTTCTCACTTTTGCTGTAAGAGGATAAAGCTAGTTTTTGTTGTTTAGTCAATGGATATTTATTAGTGACTGCTTTGTACAAGGTCCAGCATTAAGCATCATTAGAGGATATCAGAAGGTATAATTGATAGACGCTATTAAGAGAATTGTAGTCAGTGACCATTTCAGGAAGACGTGGAGTTTGAGTTTGACAAATATACCATGATGGGTAGAATTTGGGCAGTTGGAAGGAAGAGGCCATAGCAGGGGGAAGGAACAGCTTAATGCCTAGAGCATTCGAAGGCTGGTAAAGACACTGGGCACATTGGAGCAGCTGGTTCGTTTTGGGAATCAGGAGACATAATGTGCAAAGAGATGTTGGGAACAAATTACATAAGACCCAAAATGTTAAGAATTTCCATAGAATTCAAATTCTGTTATAGACTATGAGAAGCTACTGAAGGATTTTATTTGAGTGAAGGTGAAACCCTCAGTTGGATGTTGAGTTGCCCTTATATAAACCACCAAGAGGGAATTAGAGAGGTTTCTTTTGTCTGTTCCCTACATAGGAGCTGAGTAGAAGGAGAGAAAAGCTGACCTCAGAGTCTCTGAGTAGATCCCTTCTCACAGATTCCTCTTGGACCAGTTTATATGGAGGCTTCCAGAAGTAGGGCAGAGGAAACCTTAGAAACGCTTCCCGGAGTCTTGAGGAATTAATATGATGAAGAAAATGACTCTCCAAGCAGCTTTCCCTCTTCATTTCAGAGGAGTTAAGCATTGTCTGATGCATCTCCACAAGTGAACTAGAGAATGTCCTTTGAACTTTTGAATGAGTGATGTGACATTTTCCAGTATTCAGGAGACCCTGAATTGAAGTAATATGAGTGACTTTGGTATTTGAATCCATAAAACCAAACCTGGGCTAACCAGGCCTGTAAAGCAATGGAAGTAAATCTTCCTAAGGGACCTAGAAATAGTCACTTTGAGCCTCAAGGGCCATTCCAGAATTTGTTCAAATGTTAGAAATGAGCTCATGCCTTAGTTGTTTGGTTCTATCTGCTAGTCACATTTGAGGTTATCCATTTGGCTTAACTGCAGCCTGCAAGGGATTTTATCTGGCTTTGTCTCCTTTACAGCTTGCTCTTCTTTGCTTTTCTTCTACCTCCCTCTCCTAACTGCTTTTTTCTCCCCCCACCTTTTTTTTTTTTTTTTTTGAGACAGAGTCTTGCTCTGTCACCCAGGCTGGAGTGCAGTGGCACCATCTCAGCTCACTGCAACCTCTGCCTTCTGGGTTCAAGTGATTCTCCTGCCTCAGCCTCCCAAGTAGCTGGGATTACAGGCACCTGCCACCACATCCAGCTAATTCTTTTTTGTGTTTTTAGTAGAGACAGGATTTCACCATGTTTGCCAGGCTGATCTCGAAATTCCTGACCTTGGCCTTCGTAAGTGCTGGGGTTATAGGTATGAGCCACTGTGCCCGGCTCTTCCCCCTTTTAAAAATGCACTTTTCTGTCCTCATGTGCCTAAGCATAGTCAGTTGAATCGAGGAGTTGCCTTATCATGACAAGCAAGCTCTTTTGTCTCCCCAAGGCTGGGCTGACCCTGGAGACACGTTTGCAGATAGCACTAGACGTGGTGGAAGGAATCCGCTTCCTGCACAGCCAGGGACTTGTCCATCGTGATATCAAACTGAAAAATGTGCTGGTAAGTAAGAGCTGTTTCCCCAAGATTATACTCTACCTCTGTGGCTGAGTGATTTTGGAGGGTACACGTAAATGTAAGTTAGATCCCAAGAAAAGTCCTCACAGAAAGTGTATTAGTCCATTCTCACACAGCTAGTAAAGACATGCCCAAGACTGGGTAATTTATAAAGGAAAGAGGTTTAATTGACTCACAGTTCCACAGGGCTGGAGAAGCCTCAGGGAATTTACAGTTATGGCAGAAGGGGAAGTAAACACATTCTTCTTCACATGGCAGCAACACGAAGAAGTACTGAACAAAGGAGGGTAAAGCCCCTTACAAAACCATCAGATCTCGTTAGAACTCACTATCATGAGAAAAGCATGAGGGTGACTGCCCCTGTGATTAAATTACTTCTCACTGGGTCCGTCCCACAACACATGGGGATTATGGGAACTACAATTCAGGATGAGATTTGGGTGGGGACACAGCCAAACCATATCATTCTGCCCCTGGCCCCTCCCAGATCTCATGTCCTTGCATTTCAAAACACAATCATGCCTTCTCAACAGTTGTCCAAAGTCTTAACTCATTCTAGTATTAACCCAAAAGTCCAAGTCCAAAGTTTTATCTGAGACAAGGCAAGTCCCTTCCACCCATGAGCCTATAAAATCAAAAGCAAGTTAGTTACTTTCTACATACTATGAGGGTACAGGCATTGGATAAATACATCCATTCCAAATGGGAGAAATTGGCCAAAACAAAGGTGCTACAGGCCCATGCAAGTCTGAAATCCAATAGGGTAGTCATTAAATCCTGAAATTCCAAAATGATCTTCTTTGACTCCATGTCTCACATCCAGGGCACGCTGATGCAAGAGGTGGTCTCCTATGGCATTGGGCATCTTCACACCTGTGGCTTTGCAGGGTACAGCCCACTTCCTGGCTGCTTTCATGGGCTGGCATTGAGTGTCTGTGGCTTTTCTAGGCACACGGTGCAAGTTGTGTGTGGATCTACCATTCTGGGTTGTGGAAGACAGTGGCCTTCTTCTCACAGTTCCACTAGGCAGTGTCCCAGTAGGGACTTTCTGTGGGGGTTCCAACCCCACATATTCTGCACAGCCCTAATGGAGGTTCTCCATGGGGGCTCCATCCCTGCAGCAAACTTATGCCTGGATATCCAGGCATTTTCATACATCCTCTGAAATCCAGGTGGAGATTCCCAAACCTCAACTCTTGATTTCTATGCACCTGCAGGCCCAACACCACATGTAAGCTGCCAAGATTTGGGGCTTGCACCCTCTGAAGCAATGGCCTGAGCTATGTGTTGGCCCCTTTTAGCCACAACTGGAACTGAAGCAGCTGGGATGCAGGGCACCATGTCCCAAGGCTGCATAGAGCAGGGGGGCCCTGGGTCCAGCTCACAGAACCATTTTTCCCTCCTAGACCTCCAGGGGTCATAGGAGGGCCTGCTGTGAAGGTCTCTGACATGCCCTGGAGAAATTTTCCCCATTGTCTTGCTGGTTAACATTTGGCTCCTCATTACTTACGAAAATGTCTGCAGCGGGCTTGAATTTCTCCCCAGAAAATAGGTTTTCTTTTCTTTCTTTCTTTTTTTTTTTTTTTCTGAGATGGAGTCTTGCTCTGTTGCCCAGGCTAGAGTACAATGGCGCTATCTCAACTCACTGTAACCTCCACCTCCCAGGTTCAAGCAATTCTTCTGCCTCAGCCTCCCAAGTAGCTGGAATTACAGGCACTTGCCATCACGCTGGGCTAATTTTTGTATTTTTAGTAGAGACAGGGTTTTGCCATATTGGTCAGGCTGGTCTCCAACTCCTGACCTCAAGTGATCCGTCCACCTTGGCCTCCCAAAGTGCTGGGATTATAGGTGTGAGCCACTGTGCCCAGCCAGAAAATAGGTTTTCTTTTCTATGACATTGTCAGACTGCAAATTTTTCAAACTTTTATGCTCTGCCTCCTCTTCAACACTTTGCTGCTTAGAAATTTCTTCTGGGGTGGGCATGGTGGCTCACACCTGTAATCCCAGCACTCTGGGAGACCGAGGTGGGTGGATCACCTGAGGTCAGGAGTTTGAAGCCAGCCTGGCCAACATGGTAAAACCCCATCTCTACTAAAAATAAAAAATTAGCCGGGTGTGGCACACACCTGTAGTCCCAGCTACTTGGGAGGCTGAGGCAGGGGAATTGCTTGAACGTGGGAGGTGGAGGTTGCAGTGAGCTGAGATTGCACCACTACACTCCAGCCTGGGTGACACATCAAGACTCTGTCTCTAAATAAATAAATAAATTTCTTCCACCGGATACCCTAAGTCATCTCTGAAGTTCAAAGTTCCACAGATCTCTAGGGCAGGGGTAAAATGCCTCCAGTCTCCTTGCATAGCAATGGTGACCTTTATTTCAGTTCCCAACAAGTTCCTCATTTCCATCTGAGACCACCTTACCCTGGACGTCATTGTCCATATCACTATCAGCATTTTGGTCAAAGCCATTCAACAAGTCTCTAGGAAGTTCCAAACTTTCCCACATTTTCCTGTCTTCTTCTGAGCCCTCCAAACTGTTCCAGCCTCTGCCTGTTACCCAGTTCCAAAGTCGCTTCCACAATTTCATGTATCCTTACAGCAGCAGCCCACTCTTGGTACCAATTTACTGTGTTAGTCCATTCTCACGCTGCTAATAAAGACATACCTGAGACTAGGTAACTTATAAAGGAAAGAAGGTTAATTGACTCACAGTTCCGCAGGGCTGAAGAGGCCTCAGGAAGCTTACAATCATGGTGGAAGGAGAAGCAAACATGTCCTTCTTCACATAGTGGCAGCAAGGAGAAGTGCCTATCAAAAGGGGGAAAAGCCCCTTACCTCCCATCAGGTCCCTCCCATGACACACAGGCATTATGGGAGTTAGCAATTCAAGATGAAATTTGGATGGGGACAAACCGTATCAGAAAGTAGTAGAGTTAACAGCATGGTGAAAGATGGTATGTGAGACTTAAAGCTTAGGGAGGAGTTTTATCATAGACTTAGCTGATACTGTGTAAGGTTTTTTCCCCCTACACTGTTTTGAAAAATGTTAAACTTATGGAAGAGTGGTACAATGAAGACCCATATACCCCTCACCCAAATTCATATTCTCTTTTCTCCAAAATGTGCAGTCTCTCTTTCTCTCTATACATGCACACACACACACACACACGTGTGCATACTTTTTTGCTGAGCTATATGAAATTCAGTTACAAGGGCAGGCACAGTGGCTCATGCCTGTAATCCGAGCACTTTGGGAGGCCGAGGTGGGTGAATCACCTGAGGTCAGGAGTTCGAGACCAGCCTGGCCAACATGATAAAACCCTGTTTCTACCAAAAATACAAAAAAAAAAAAAAATTAGCCAGGCATGGTGGTGCATACCTGTAGTCCCAGCTACTGAGGAGGTTGAGGCAGGAGAATCACTTGAACCCGGGAGGCAGAGCTTGCAGTGAGCCAAGATTGTGCCCTGCACTCCAGCCTGGTGACAGAGTGAGACCCTGCCCCCCCCCCAAAAAAAAGTAACAGAAAACACTTTATTCCTAAGTACTTCATCATGTATCTGCTAAGAAAAAGGATATCGTTCTACATAATCAAAGTGTCATTATTATACCCAAGGAATTTAACATTGATACAATACTGTTATTTAATATGTAATCTATATTAACATTTTTCAGTTGTCCCAAATATGTTTAGTTGCCCTAAATATGGTATGTTTGTTTGTTTGATACAGGATCCAATCCAGGAAATATATAGTATATTTTGTTGTCATGTTTCTTTAGTCTCCTTTAATCTAGAATAGTCTTTCTGCCTTTGAGGAGTCTGGGCCTTGTTATTGCTTAAGGTTTAATCAGAGATGTAGGATGAAGACTGAGATGGGTAAATGTACCTTAAATGGTGAGATGGTCATGAACTCACTAGTCCTGTAATTTGAATTGTAAAGAATCTTTCGATCTATTCCTCTTGAAAGTATACTGGCATGTCATTCAGTTGTTTCTGGCAATACTTAAATGATGTATGAAGATGACAGCAATTTAGGGGAAGGGAACAGTCTCCCTAAAATTGACAACCGAAACCTAAAGGCTGATCAATAGCCAAATTAGACAGACTTATTCTCTTCAACCTTTAGGAAAGGAAACTACAGGGACTTTAGGAAACTCTCCTCAGCTGACCAGAGGACCTCAACTTTCTGCTCTGGGGTCAGGAGGAGAGTCAGGCGCTGAAGTGTTTCCCTGGTGTCCTTCCATGGACCTGTACTTCCTCATTCTTCCAGGGTTTTTTAGGACCTTCATATGTACCAGGCACTGTGCTAAGCACTGGGGATATAAAGATGAAAACGGCAATCCCTGCCCTCATGTTGCTTATAGTATGGGGAAGAAGACAGTACAGGTTGAGTATTCCTAATCGAAAAATTACAAATCCAAAATGCTCCACGATCCGAAACTTTCTGAGCACTGACATGACCCTCAAAGAGAATGCTCACTGGAGCATTTTGGATTTTTAATTAGAGGTGTTGAATCAGCAAGTATAATGGATATATTCCAAAATCTGGAAAAAAAAATGAAATTCAAAACACTTCTGTTTCCAAGCCTTTCAGATAAGGGATACTCAACTTGTAATGGAATGAACCTGGAGACAGGAAGGTTGGCGGCAGGATTTATGAAGTACAGTCATGCACTGCATAATGACATTTTGGTCAGTGAGACCACATATACAATGTAGTCCCATAAGATTATAATGGACTGGCTAGGTGTCGTGGATCACGCCTGTAATACCAGCACTTTGGGAGGCCGAGGCAGGCGGATCACCTGAGGTCGGCAGTTTGAGACCAACCTGACCAACATAGAGAAACCCTGTCTATACTAAAAATACAAAATTAGCTGGACGTGGTGGCGCATGCCTGTAATCCCAGCTACTTGGGAGGCTGAGGCAGGAGAATAGCTTGAACCCGGGAGGCAGAGGTTGCAGTGAGCCGAGATCATGCCATTGCACTCCAGCCTGGGCATCAAGAGCGAAACTCCGTCTCAAAAAACAAAAATAAACAAAAAAGATTATAATGGACTAAAAAATTCCTATTGCCTAGTGACATCATAGCTGTTGTAATGTTGCAGCACAGTGCAATACATGTGTGGTGATTCTTGTGTAAACCTACTGATATAAAAGAATAGCACAATTATGTACAGTATATATTTGATAATAAACAGCTATGTTACTGGTTTATATATTTACTGTACTATACTTTTTATCTTTTTAAACCTTTTAGATACTCTAAAAAGTATAGTACAGTAAATATATAAACCAGTAAGGATACCCTCGGGCAGGACCTTAGGACGAACTCCAGAAGAAGGTGTTGCTATCATAGGAAGTGACAGCTCCATGTGTGTTATTGTCCTTGAAGACCTTCCAGTGGGACAGGATGTGGAAGTGGAAGACAGTGATATAGCTGATCTTGACCCCATGCAGGCCTAGGCTAATATGTCTGTGTTTTAGTTCTTAACAAAAAAGTTTTAAAAGCTAGAAAAAAAAAGAAAGAAAGCCTATAACCAGCCTAGACAACAGAGAAAGACCCCATCTCTACTAAAAATCAAAAAATTAGCCCGGCATGATGGCATACAACCATAGTCTTTGCTGGTCAGGAAGCCGAGGTAGGAAAATCCCTTGAGCCCAGAAGTTCAAGGCTTCCTTGAGCTGTGATCGTGCCACTGCACTCCAGCCTGGACGACAGAGCACAACCCTGTCTCTTAAAAAAATATATATATATATATATATATATATATATAGATAGATATTTGTACAGCTATACAATGTGTGTTGTAAGTTAAGTGTTTATTGCAAGAGTCAAAAAGCTTAAAAAATTAAAAAGTTTATAAAGTAAAATTACAGTAAGTAGAGGTTGATTATTGAAGAAAAACTTTAAAAAATAAATACAGTGTAGCCTAAATATACAGTGTTTATAAAGCCTACAGTAGTGTACAGTAATGTCCTAGGCCTTCACATTCACTCACCACTCACTCACTGACTCACCCAGAGCAACTTCCACTTCTGCAAGCTCCATTCATTATAAATGCCCTCTACAGGTATACCATTTTTTATTTTTTATACCGTATTCTTACTGTACCTTTTCTTGGTTTAAGTATGTTTAGATACACAAATACCGTTGTGTTACAGTTGCCTGTGGTATTCAGTACAGTAATACACTGTACAGGTTTGTAGCCTAGTAGCAAAAGACCATACTATTAATATGTAGCCTAGGTGTGTAGCAAGTATACCATCTAGGTTTGTGTAAGCACAGTCTGGTGTTTGTACAAGGACAAAATCACCTGACAACTCATTTTTCAGAGCATAATCCTGTCCAGTGACACTACTTTGAGGTACCTACCTTTGAACTTGGGTATGCAGCACTGCTGTGTGCAGGATCAGAAACAAGGTGACTCTTGCCCTGCTTTGTTGGCAGCTGGATAAGCAGAACCGTGCCAAGATCACTGACTTAGGATTCTGCAAGCCAGAGGCCATGATGTCAGGCAGCATTGTGGGGACACCAATCCATATGGCCCCTGAACTTTTCACAGGTAAGGCTGGAGGGCAGGCAGTGGGTCTGGGCAGGGTGTATTACTTTAATCCTGAGTGCTACCCCTTGAGCTCGTTTCCACAATCACTACTGGCAGGTCTGGCACAGGCAAGGGAGAAACCAGATCAGGGGAGACCTACCTAAGGCAAGTAGCAGGGAAAGTGAAGAGGTAGAGGAGTAAGAAAGAAAAAGTACAAATGGGAATCACCATTTGGACATCTCTCTGGGTTATTCGTGCCATAATTGCCATAATCAGCCAATTATTTAATCATAAAGTATTGATTGAATAACTCCTGTGTGATAGGAGTTGTCCTCTATCATTAAAGAACTTACAGTTGACATACAGATATATTGAGAGGTAAAATAGGAAGCAGTATAACACAATGTATGATTAAGTGCTAAATTAAGTGCTATATGATGTACTGTTGGTGTTTAGAGAAGGAATAAATGAAGTTGGAAATGTTTATTGGTTTTGTGATGAAGGTGAGATTTTGAGTAGAACTTGAGTCAGATCTGGGAAATTGGTAGGTGGGAAGGGAACTCATTTATTAAGTATATACCTTGAGTTAAGCAGTATGGGTAGGTTTTTCATATATTTTGTTTGGTTCTGTGATGATGATGGATTTTTATGTCCATTCAATTGATAAAGTTGAGACCAGACTGATGAAGAAACCTACTCCCAAAAACATTGAGCTAAAAGGTAATGGACCTGTGATTTAAGTCTAGGACTTTCTGTCTCCATAGTACAACCCTGTAGCATAAAGGAGAGAAAATTCTGGAGGCTAAAGAAGGGGAAATGAAGAAAATCACAGAATAGAAATAAGCGTGACAGGAAAGAAATCCATTTGGGGAACAGTAGCAAACAAGGTTGGAGATAAAATACATTGAGGTTGAAATTCCCACAAAAGATTCAAGGCTTGTTTGTGCAAGACTTAAGGAGCTACTGAGCTTTTGAGTAGGAGATAAAGGAAAATGTTGATGAAGATGAGCTTTAGCAACAGTAGGTAAAGATGATTTGGGAGGAACCAAGGTAAGACCAGATAGCTGGTCTTCTATGGTTGCCTCCATGATTAAGCTGGTGTTAGTGCGGAAACAAACAAATGTGAGAAATTTAGATTAATTCAGAGGAAGAGTGAACAAGATTTTGGTGCTAACTTGATATGGTTAGTGAACAGAAAAGAATGACTAAAAGATGACTGCAAGGTTTTGAGCCCAAGTGATGGGAATGATTGTTCCATTGCCAGCAAAGATGGAAAGGTAGTCATTAGTATTGGTAAGAGTTAAAATTAGCAATATATTTAAATTTCTTTCATTTCATGTATGAGTCTTCCCCCAGGCCTTCACTGGGTGATACATGTAAGGATTAGGTGTTAGTGAGACAGCTGTAGTAGTATTCAACATCTGAACTAAGTAGACAGTCTTCATTTTTCTTTCTGTAGATTTACTTAACAACAACAACAAAAAAACTTTCGGCCAGGCACGGTGGTTCACGCCTGTAATCCCAGCACTTTGGGAGGCTAAGGCGGGTGAATCACTGAGGTCAGGAGTTCAAGACCAGCCTGACCAACATGGAGAAACCCCCTCTCTACTAAAAATACAAAATTAGCCGGGTGTGGTAGTGCCTGCCTGTAATCCCAACTACTTAGGAGGCTGAGGCAGGAGAATCGCTTGAACCCAGGAGGCGGAGGTTGTGGTGAGCTGAGATCGCACTACTGCACTCTAGCCTGGGCAACAAGAGCAAAACTCTGTCTCAAAAAAAAAAAAAAGAAGAAACTTTCTAATCCCACTGCTGTTACTCTAGTTTGGTTACTTCATACTTAAATTTCTTTTATTGTTTCTATTGCAGTCCACCCTATTGCTGTCAGAATCATCTTTCTAAAATATTATATTCTTCATGTCACCTCCTACTCTAAAACATAAATGACTTCCTGCTGCCCACTAAATCCAGACTCTTCTACCTGACTTTAAAAATTATTATATTCTGGTTTCAACATCCCTACCCACCTGTATTTCCAACTTTATTTCCTTAATTTTTTGTGATTAATCTTTTTGACTGTCCTAGCAGAATGACAGGCCTTATTTGCCTTCTCCTTTGTCAAGTTCTAGGCTTGGCTCTCTTCGTATTGAGCTGTGACCTCCCAATGTCTTACTTGATTGTATTGTAAAATGGGCATTATAAATGTGCCCTGCCCACCTGGCAGGGTTGTTATTGGGAGATAATAGATGTTAAAAGCTTTGGAAAAAGCCAACCCTCTACTGAGGCAAGATGGTGTGGATGCTGCTGCCTGACTCTCTGCGGCTCATTACGTTTCATCCTTTCTTGCCATCAGGGAAGTACGATAATTCCGTGGATGTCTACGCTTTTGGAATTCTTTTCTGGTATATCTGCTCAGGCTCTGTCAAGCTCCCTGAGGCATTTGAGAGGTGTGCTAGCAAAGACCATCTCTGGAACAATGTGCGGAGGGGTAAGAGCCACAAGTACTACCTTGTCCTAACTCCCCTGGCTAGCGCAGACTGAGCCCAGGCAATGTCACCCAGCCTCCTGTCATCCTATCTGGCCACTCCGTAGCAGGGCCATAGATACATTTAAACTGTCATGAATCCAGAAAACATAATTAAGTCAACCTTTGCTTCCAGTCAACTCTCTGTTGAACTATCTCAAAAAGCCTTTTTAAAAAAAATGTCCAATTCTTCAACTTCATATGCCAGTGTGTTCCAGTTTTTCTTTTCTTTTTCTTTCTTTCTTTCTTTTTTTTAAATTATTCTTACTGTTAGGTTCTAACCTAGATGTTTGCAATTGAAGTCAAAACTCCTTGCATTCTTTAGTATTCTGAGCCCCACTGGGAATTCAGCCTTTGAGCTGGTCATGCCTCTTTGTATGTGCTGGGCCCCTCTCACTGTGGTCTTGTTTCCATGCTCCTTTCTCTAGGGGCTCGCCCAGAACGTCTTCCTGTGTTTGATGAGGAGTGCTGGCAGTTGATGGAAGCCTGTTGGGATGGTGACCCCTTGAAGAGGCCTCTCTTGGGCATTGTTCAGCCCATGCTCCAGGGCATCATGGATCGGCTCTGCAAGTCTAATTCTGAGCAGCCAAACAGAGGACTAGATGATTCTACTTGAAAGCAAAGACTTTTCTTTTTCACTCTCTAGTTCTTTCCTTCCCCCTCACCTTTTGGCCATGGGGAGAATTTGACATTTATTCACTATAGGACACACTCCCAAGAGAACTGGTGCTTGCTGGGAAACTTGAAACCTTCCCAGGCAGGGATGACTCCTGGACAGTGAAGAGTTGAATGAATGAGCATATTCAGCAGCTCACTGAAGCGCCAAGCTATTCCTTTAGCAAAAAAGTGTCTAAGATGTGTAAAAGCTGAGGAATGTGATGTTCTGGCCTCACAAATGAAAAAGAGGCAGATGTTACCATTGTCTATTCACTGTATATGCTTCCAAGACAACCAGCAGGACACTGCAGTGGCAATAGTGTTAAAAAGTCTCATTCTCATGATTTTTCGCTCTAGCTAGGAATAGTTTAGTCAGGACTCAGAAAATTTGAACTTAGTTCTGGGATTATGAAAACATGGGGACAAAAACAGTAACTTGTGGATATCAGGTTCCTGCTGTCTGCAGCCAGGGATCTCAGGCTGCAATGGTCAGAAGTCCCAGTGAGGGAGCTAGAAACAGAGCTATCTGTTCCTCATAGTGCCAGTGTGTTTACATTTATAGGACCACATATCCCTGGTTTCTGGGGGAGGGTTTCACTGTTACATCACCAAAAGGCCCTGAAAAGATAAAAAAAAAAAAAAAAAAAAAAAAAAGAGGCCGGGCTTGGTGGCTCATGCCTGTAATCCCAGCACTTTGGGAGGCTGAGGCGGGTGGATCATAAGGTCCAGAGTTCAAGAGCAGCCTGGCCAACATGGTGAAACCCTGTCTCTACTAAATATACAAAAAATTAGCTGGGCATAGTGATGCATGCCTGTAATCCTAGCTACTGGGGAGTCTGAGGCAGGAGAATTGCTTGAACCTGGGAGGCGGAGGTTGCAGTGAGCTGAGATCGTGCCACTGCACTTCAGCCTGGGTGACAGGGTGAGACTCTGTCTCAAAAAAAAAAAAAGAATGTGTGTGTATGTGTATATACATGTGTGTGTCTATATCTCTATATATAGACATACACACAGAAGTTATTGGATTTAGAGTTACTGCTAACCCCAGAACAGAATCTGTTCTTTTACCTTTGAGTCTTTTCTTTTGTTTACCTCTTTTCATCTCAAAGTGGGAAAGCTCCAGATAACATGGTACACAGGAGTGAGTGTCTGAGCAAAACCAACCCAGTGCGAAGTATTTGGGTGAGACCTGAGAGGTGGGAGATGATTGGAGGCCATGGCGTGTGTACAAACATACTGGAAGAAAACAAGCTTGTTTTTAAAACTTAACATAATCAGAAACTTTTCTTTTTTGTTTCAATCTAACACGTTGACGTTTTTAAAATTTGATCAGTGAGCTTTTTAACCAAGATTTCTCCTGCAATTTGTTCCTTCTTTTTACCTTATTTTAAGTATAATCTGTTAGAAGAAAAAAGAAGCAGACGAAAGAGAAAAACCCTCCTCTGGTAGTTCTGTGTGTGTGCCCCTCACCTGTGTGCTAGTGTCTGGGAAGTTTCCCTGAAAGGTGGGAGGCGGGTGGGTGGTCTTTTGGAGAGTTCCTCATGAAGTGTGCTTGAGGAAAGAAATTCTGATTCTAGGCAGAGGAAGGGGAACAATTTAAATATTGGTGCATCTCAGATGCACTTCTTCAAGCCTTCCTCAACCAAACTGATCCATTAGATTCAGAAAAACAGGTAGACAAGGAAGTAGACAGTGGAAGGGAGTAGTCTCCCTCCATCTGCCTAATCCCCAATAACTGTGGTCTGGCCCCTGTGTCCAGCCCCAGAGTTTGTAGAACAGGTCCCCAAGTAGGTGTATAAGATGAATTGCAAATTAGCCGGGCATGGTGGTGCGGGCATGGTGGTGTGCGCCTGTAGTCCCAGCTACTCGGGAGTCTGAGGCAGGAGAATCGCTGGAACCCAGGATGTGGAGATTGTGGTGAGCCGAGATCGTGCCACTGCACTCCAGCCTGGGCAAGAGTGAGACTCCATCTCAAAAAAGAAAAAGAAAAAATGAGTCGCACATTTGCTGCTGGGATTTTCTAGGGTTGTTTATGACAAAATGACCATCTTTTAAATATTAATGGAGTATAAATGGAGTCTATAATGGGTCTTTCATATAACTTTTAACTCTTTGGCTATCCTGAGCTCTGATCATGATACGTTTGAGCATAGTAGCTCCCTAAACTCTTGCAGCCTTTCAGAAACTCCACGTAGTGCTAATAACCTTTTTACCTGCAAATGATAAAGTAACTGACTCAGTGTCTTTGGGCTCTGTAGGCTTTAGCCTTGTTTTGGTAGGATGTTCAGTATATTAGAATTTTTACCACCTATTTAGCTATACTTCAAGTACTCTATTCTCTGCACTAACTCACTTGTCCTTCTGGGAACTATGATGGGCTTCAAGGGAGTCAGGTGTCAAGAGAGGAGGGGTAAGTACTCTCTACTTGCTGGAAAATCATTGTCTAAGTCTGTTGTGTATGAAATTTTAGGAAAAGTCTTATATAGTTCCCTTTCCAGACTGTCTTCTTTTGACTCTAGCTATAATCATAAGTCTGTGCTTTCATTATGAAGATCACATTCCTAGCATTCTTTGGAAGTCTTAGCTCATACTCCCATTCACATATGGGAGGTTAGATTTTTTTCGTCTACCCAGAGTCCCTTTTTAGTTTACCCCACGGCTTAGTCTGCAATCAGATGCCAGTTCTCTAGCAGATTCCCCAACAGTTTTTTCCCCAATGGGGAGGGTGGAAGGGAGGAACTAATGTAAGTAAGGAGATGAGTAGTTGTGTTACAGTTCATTTTCTTAAAAAAAGTATTTTGAGAAAAGGTGCAAAATATTCTTGAAAGTCTCTAGGCCAGCCAAAATCCATATATGGATATTTGGGGATGTTATTTAAATACTCAGCAGGCTGAGTGCAGGTATACGTGTGTATAGTGTGTGTATACTTTGCTTTTGTTTTATAACATTGTCAGCTAATTTTGGCTTCTTTGTTCCTTGGCATCCATTCTTATGATAAGTGATGGAATGCCATGAAACGTACTGTATTGTATATTACTTGGGAGGACACTAGGTTTTCAAAGAAGTCTGGCAGCACTTGGCTTATAGAGGGCCCAGCATGACCAAAGTCCTAAAGATTTTACCTCCCAGCTTTGGTTGTACGTGTTCCCAAGTGGTGAGGTGAGATTGTGACTGGAGGAGGAAAAAGGATGACGTGAAAGGATGACCCTTATTGTGTTCTGTCCTTCTAATCAGCATAATTAGGGCAGCTTACCCCTGCATGAAAATGATGACCTGGCCATTTTTAATGGCCAGAGCTTGAAGTCTGGTCTCTCATTTTGTTTCAGAAATGAGGCCTTCCTGCAGAGCAGTCAGGAGAAATGGTGGAGCCTGGGACCCTTGAATGGCTGACCCTGGGCCTAGAGAGCTGATGGCAAGGGCTGTCTGGCACGGCTCATTTGGGTGGGGTTTCCCCAGGCATACCTTAGTTCCCTGATCCTCTGCAAAGAGTAGCTCATTGACTGAGCAAGCGCTTCACGGGAGGACTGTGCTGGTTGTTCCCAGACCAAAGAGAGTCACTTTTGACTCCATCAACTTCAAGGGGACAGAGCCTAGGCAGCAGCTTCTCCTAATTTTTAACACTAAAATTCAAGGAAGCAGTGGAGGAAAGAATGCATTACTACCACAGATAGAAATAGGGGACTCGTAGAACTCTTGACTAGTACCTGTCAGCTCTCAAGTGCATTTTTGTGTCTTTGCTTGAGCTGCCAAAGAAGGGTCACAAAGTGTTCTTCCTAATGGAAGAAGTGCCTCGGGGTTGCAGGGCTTCAAAGTGACAACTGCACTGAATAACACTTTATTTTTTGGCTTTGGCTTATTATTTAGCACTGGGAGGCCTGGGGGGAATTGGTGATTACAGTAGCACTTTGGGAAGTTAAAGCCCCCTTTGGGCTTGCTTTGGAGAGATGATGGCATGCTTGGTATTCCATTTGGATAATCAGGAAACCTCCCTAATCCATCCATATTGCATCAGAGTGGGATTAATAACCCTGGAAGAGTCCACTGCCAAAAGAGTAGTTGCTTTCCTTGAGTTTCCAAAGCTTTTGGATTTTCTGGATCAAGTAACCCACTTTTTAAAACCTGAGGTCAGGAGTTCGAGACCAACCTGTAACACGGTGAAACCCCATCTCTATTAAAAATAGAAAAAATTAGCCAGGCATGGTGGCGGGCATCTATAGTCCCAGCTACTCAGCAGGCTGAGGTAGGAGAATTGCTTGAACCCAGGAGACAGGCTGCAATGAGCCGAGATCACACTACTGCACTCCAGCCTGGGTGGCAGAGCAAGACTCCATTTCAAAAAAAAAAAAAAGAAAAAAGAAAAAGAAGGTTAATCTTTCCAAATATGGAGGTGGGATGAATAGGGCTTGTTTGATGTTGAAGTGGGTAAGGAGGGAGTGGCCTTGGAACACTTGTATTCCAAACTCCCCTGGAGGTTTCCAGTAGCACTACTGTTCTTAAAAGGGTTTTATTTTTAACTTCATCTGCTTTGTTAACATCCAGTCCAATTGAGGTGATCTCAGAGGTGCATCAGGACACCAAGCACTGGGGAGGCCACCTTGCCCAGATGGTTGAAAAGAAAATTGGTCTGGACAGCCTGTTGTCTTTTGTCTTCTTGTAATGTCGTTTGTTTGTTTTAAAGGACTAATGTTTGTTACAGTGTTAAATAAAGGTGTAACATACTAAGTGTGTAGAATAAAAGTGCAATAACAAAAGAAAATGACTTTCGCACACAGTTCAGTCTTTATCCTGTCTCCTTTCTTGTGCTACCTGGCTCTTTCCATAATACTGTTACAGCAGGACTGTGGTAATTGTGTGCATTTTGAAGAGACGCGACTTGGGGTTAATCTTCATTCATGTAATTTTGAAAGGTTGGGTTTGGTTTTATAGAGTATTCTATATACTTGTTGGGTTACACAAATACCAGATGTGCTGTATAATAAAGATCACATTAACGTTTTAGGTTTCTATCTGTTTGGTTTTGGTTTTCCCTTACCTCACTACCCATAGTAACAGGACACTGCCTAATCCATTCCATTTCCACTGGTGACCTGCAGTCGGATGTCTTTCAGTTTGCCTTAGGAGAGATGGATGGAACATGTTCCTCTCCCATCAGGGGCCCTCCCCAGCCACCATGGCTCTTGGCCTCTGGGTACTTTACATCACCACTACTGGAGGGTGGGGCAAGGGAATGGGAAATAGGATAGCGGAGAAAAGGGGTGAGATGATAGCAATGGATCTTCCAGAGCCTATCCTGGGTGACATGCTTTTTTCCAGCTTTTAAGCACAAACCTGCAGTATTGTGAGTTCATATATGAGCCTAGCTACTCTTTATTACACTGTGAGGGAACTTGGCACATAATCTTATGCTGGCCTATCTACATGTAGTGTATTTAGAATTTTCTATTTAGGCTCACCCCAGTGCTGAGATTTGCTTACTCAGCAGTACCCGACAGGCACCACCATGGGCGACCGCCAAGAGACAGGCACTACCTCTAGTCACCAGGGAAGATCAGTGTGCAACACGAGGTGCGTTTGCTTTGGTTTGTTTTTTGTTATACCCATGTCTGGCTGGTGTGGCTGTCATTTTTTGCTGTAACTACTTTTGGTTTGACTGCAACACAAGGTTAGCCAGCAGATGGCAGCACATCTTACGTAGTTGGTGTGTTCCGCTCCTTGATCTCAGTGGTTCTCAGCCCATACCCACACAGTATTCATTTAATGCAACTGAAGCCGGTTAGCTCAGTTGGTTAATGCTAATAATGCAGATAAGCCTTTTTTATTTTTATTTTTATTTTGGAGACAGGGTCTTGCTCTTGCTGTTGCCCAGGCTGGAGTGTGGTGGCACAAACATGGCTCACGGTAGCCTCGACCTCCTGGGCTCAAGCAATCTTCCTGCTTCAGCCTCCTGAGTACCTGGACCATAGATGCACACCATCATGCCTGGCTGTTTTTGTTTGTTTAAGGATATGGTCTGGCTATGTTGCCCAGGCTGGTCTCAAACTCCTGGGCTAAAGCAATCCTCCTGCCTCAGCCTCCCAAAGTGCTGGGATTACAGGTGTGAGCCATGCACCCAGCCCAGATAAGCCTCTTAACACTTGTGAAACTCTGGTAACTCCAGCCACCCTTCACAGTTAAATATATCCCATCTTATATGCATATGCCCTGTATTTTCCTAGGAAGTTCAGTGTGACTGAGTTCTCTTAACCTCTTCTTTTGCCCTTATTACTTTGGAAAAAAATAGCTTTTGGTATACACATTTTCTTTTTCTTTTTTTTTTTTTTTGTTGAGGCAGAGTCTGGCACTCTTGCCCAGGCTGGAGTGCAGTGGCCCGATCTCGGCTCACTGCAAGCTCCGCCTCCTGGGTTCACGCCATTCTCCTGCCTCAGCCTCCCGAGTAGCTGGGACTACAGGCGCCCGCCACCTCGCCCGGCTAGTTTTTTTGTATTTTTTAGTAGAGACAGGGTTTCACCATGTTAGCCAGGATGGTCTCGATCTCCTGACCTCGTGATCCGCCCGTCTCGGCCTCCCAAAGTGCTGGGATTACAGGCTTGAGCCACCGCGCCCGGCCTGTATACACATTTTCAGATTGGACATGCTTTTTCAAGAACACGTCCCTCAGTAGTCATGTGCCCTGAGTAGGGCAACTTGGGTGGCCTTCCCGACCCTGTATTTGGGTGGGATTCAGGCTTCTGAACATTATTAAATTCAACCTCAAAATTTCTGCCTTTAGTAGAATCCCAAGGGTCCATGAAGTGCTAACTGAATGGCCTCCTTTGGAGTGCAGTTACTATGGGGAGACATGCACTGAGTGAGGCCTCTTGTGGCCCTTCTAGGGAGAGCCTGTACCTTGGTATATTTTATTTTTATTTTTATTTTTTTGAGATAGAGTCTCATTCTCTCTCCCAGGCTGGAGTGCAATGGTGTGATCTCAGCTCACTGCAACCTTCGCCTCCCCAGTTCAAGCTATTCTCCTGCCTCACCCTCCCAAGTAGCTGGGATTACAGGCGTGCACCACCATGCCCGGCTAATTTTTGTATTTTTAGTGGAGACAGGGTTTTGCCATACTGCTCAGGCTGGTCTCGAACCCCTGACCTCAGGTGATCTGGCCTCCCAAAGTGCTGGGATTACAGGCATGAGCCACCACGCCAGCCCCTTGGTATATTTTGAAGTTAGCATTTCAAATCCGTGAAAAAAACAGATTAGTCAGTAAAGTTGGCTATCCCCTTGTTTTAGTCTTTTCCTGCTACTATAACAAAATACCACAGACCAGGTAATTTACAAATAACACATTTATTTCTCATAGTTTTAGGAGCTGGGAAGTTCATGATTGAGGCGCCAGCAGGGTCAGTATCTGGTAAGGACTGCTCTGTGCGTCCAAGATGGCACCTTGTTGCTGCATCCTTCAGGAGACTAACACTGTTCTCACATGGCAGAAGAGATGGAAGAACTAGGCAGCCCTCTGAGCCTCTTTATAGTGCCATTAATCCTATCTGTGAGGGCTAAGCCCGCATGGCCTAATCACTTCCCAAAGGCCCCACCTCTTAATAGCTTGGGGTTTGAGTTCCAACATAGGAATTTTGGAGGGACACATGCATTCAAATCATATCACCACCTGAGGAAAAAAATACTTAAATCATCATGTGAAAAAAAAGTCCAGGTATAGGAAAGATGTAAATGTTAAAAACAAAAAAAAACAAAAACTCTAGGCTGGGCACAGTGGCTTGGCCGGGCACAGTGGCTCATGCCTGTAATCCTAGTACTTTCAAAGGCCAAGGTGGGCAGATCACCTGAGGTCAGGAGTTCAAGACTAGCCTGGCCAATATGGTCTCTACTAAAAATACAAAAATTAGCCAGGTGTGGTGGTGCATGCCTGTGACCCCAGCTACTCGGGAGGCTGAAGCAGGAGAATCACTTGAACCTGGGAGGCAGAGGCTGCAGTGAGCTGATCGTGCCACCACACTCCAGCCTAAGCAACAGAGCAAGAGTCCATCTCAAAAAATATATATATATAAAAAACTATATATAACTATATGTAAACATATATAACTATATATAAATATATATAACTATATAACAATATATAAAACTATATATAACTATATATATAAAACTATATAACTCTATATAAAACTATATATATATATAAAACATAACCCATTTTTTGGTAAAAATCCCTTTGTTCCCCAGAACCCCAAATTATCTAGAGATTTAGTCCAACTGCACATATAGTGCACAGAAAAAAAAACTGTAAATGTATAAATCAAACCGATAATAGTGATTTTCCTAAAGAGGCAACTTCCAACTTTTAGGGTATGGAATTTCTGTTACTGTGTTGTTTATCTGCTATGAACATCTAGAAAATGAATCCTGGCTAATTTAGGAGGAAGGAAATACGTACTGGAAAAATACTAGTGCCTCAAAAAATCAGCAAGAACTGGAAGATCAGACTCACAGAATCTGTAGGCAGGAACCAGAGCAGCTCTGCAAGCTTTTGCTGTCTAAAGCTATGATGAACCATCTTTACTCCCTCAAGAGTTAACAGCCAGGGCGAGTTTTCTCAACTGGCCCAGCACAGGTCCCAGACCCATTTTCTAGCTTTACTGGTTCAGAACTGGAAGGATCTATCCCCTTCAGATTCCATGATGGGAGGCAGGCACCTAAATTTGCCTGCTCACTGAAAATTATATTCCTTGGAGGAGATGTAACTCCCGAAAAGTAATCAAAGAGAAGTGAGAAAAGGGACCTAAATTCAGGACAGGTGCCAGGTGACACACGGCCGTTACAGTTCATCTCTTGGGCTGCTTAACCTCCACAGCCACCCTTCTGGCACTACTGGGAGGCAAGGTCGTGAAAGAAGATTGACAGATTGGGGCCTGATACAGAGAGGCCACAACTTGATCTCTGGGAAGGACATTTCTAAATCTCTGAAGTATTTTTCAACCTATGAAGAATGCCTTGGCTTCTATTGCCTTTCTCTTTCCTTCCTCCCTTATTTTCTCAGCATGGCTTCCCCATGAATCAAAGACACTCAAGCATCTAGGTAAAGGCTAAATCAGAGCCTTTCTATGTGTGGAAGCAGGAGTTTAAGAGGCAAATGTCAGGCTCAATGTGAAGCCACTGGCTCTGAAAATAAGGGGAACTGCTCCAGGTTCTAAGCTGGGACCACAGAGAAACACAGTGGTTAGTCTAAGACATTGTATTGAGCAGGATTTGCTTACAATTGTTAAAAATTATTAGATACTGGCAAAGGAGTATATGTAACATCCTCAAATATTTTGATACGGCCGGGTGTGGTGGCTCATGCCTGTGATCCCAGCACTTTGGGAGGCTGAGGCGGGCAGATAATCTGAGGTCAGGAGTTCGAGAGCAGCCTGGCCAACATGGCCAAACCCCATCTCTACTAAAATACAAAAATTAGCCAAGCATGGTAGCGGGTGCCTGTAATCCCAGCTACTCAGGAGGATGAGGCAGAAAGAATTAATTGAACTCAGGAGGCGGAGGTTGCAGTGAGCTGACATTGCACCGCTGCACTCCAGACTGGGCAAGACGCTGTCTTTGAAAAAAAAAAAAAAAAAAAATTGATGCATAAGAACAATTTTTTTTTTTCTGGAGACAAAGTCTCACTGTCACCCAGGCTGGAGTGCAATGGTGCTATCTCTGCTCACTGCAACCTCCATCTCCCAAGGTCAAGTGATTCTCCTGTCTCAGCCTTGTGAGTAGCTGGGATTACAGACATGCACCACCACACCTGGCTAACTTTTGTATTTTTAGTAGAGATGGGGTTTTGCCACGTTGGTCAGGCTAGTCTCAAACTCCTGACCTCAGGTGATCCATCTGCCTTGGCCTCCCAAAGTGCTGAGATTACAGACGTGAGCCACCAGGCCCGGCCAAGAACAATTTTTAAAATGTGAATTTATCATGCAATTTGTGGGCCAGAACACTGCCATGGTTTTTAAGCC